CCTGGCGTCCCGCAGTACAACGGCGTCGTCGAGAGCGCCATCTGGCGCATCATGAAGGCCGGCATGGCCGCTCGCCGCAGCGCTGCCCGTGTGCTCAACGTCGACTACGCCTCCATCACCGGCCTCGACCCGCGCGGTGACCGTCCTTGGTTGGAATCTGCGAAGTGGGCCGCCGACGCTCTCAACCAGTCAGCGACCAAGGCCAACCTCGAGCGTCTTTCTCCGCACGAGCCATTCACCGGTCAGCAGGGGTCGTTCGGCGTGCTGCCGTTCTTCCAGCCCGGCTACATGCGTGAGGATCGCCGCACCAAGCTCGACGACCAGGCCGGCGGCGACAACCACCCGAGCGGCACCGTCAAGGTCCTCAAGGCGTCCACCGGCCGCGTCGTCTACACCAACAACGTGTCGTGGGTGACGTCGGCGCCAGCCGGCGAGGGGGGTTCCGCTGGTATCCCCGCTGCGCCGACGCCTCCCCCGTTCACGCCGGTCGTCTCGATCAACTTCGGCCCAGCCCCGACGCCTTCGACCGCCGCACAGCCGCCGCCAGCGCCCACGCCCACGCCGTCGTCCGCACCCGCTCCTGGCCAGCCGCCCTCTGCCGCTTCGCCGTCATCGTCGGCGACCCCCGCTCCAGTTCAGCTACCGCCGTTGCCGCCGCCGCCGCCGCCGCCGCCGGGCCCCGCGTTGCCCCCGCTCTCGGCTCACGCCATGCGGCAGTTTCGCCCGGGCAAGAAGGCCGAGGGAATGAAGGACCCGCGGCTGCCAGGCCGCACGAGATCGGGCACGAGGCACAGNAGTTCAGCTACCGCCGTTGCCGCCGCCGCCGCCGCCGCCGCCGGGCCCCGCGTTGCCCCCGCTCTCGGCTCACGCCATGCGGCAGTTTCGCCCGGGCAAGAAGGCCGAGGGAATGAAGGACCCGCGGCTGCCAGGCCGCACGAGATCGGGCACGAGGCACAGCACAGGGCTCATCTCGATGCTGTACAAAAACACTCTGGTATCGATGCTGGAGGCCCAGAGCGCCGTGGAAGAGGAGCGCAGGGAGCCGGGGGGAGCGGGGACCGGAGAGCCGGGGGGACCGGAGACCGGAGAGCAGGGGGGAGCGCAGCCGTGGACCTGGGGGCTGGAGGAGCGAGCTTACCACTTGCATGTGCCACGCTCCTCGCCAGCCGGGAAGACATCGATGCCGTGCTGCGCGACCAGCGCCCGCCGGAGCAACGCCCTGATCTCCCGCACTGCCAGGCGAGCGACCTTCGCATCCCCAAGAGCTACAAGGAGGCTATGGCGTCGGAGTACCGGCACCTCTGGGGCGACTCGATGAAAAGGGAGTTTTTCGGGTTGCTGGAAGCGGGGACTGTTACTCCGGCGAAGTAGCAATCAGTGCAGAACGTGATAAACGCGAAGTGGGTATTCAATTGGAAGGCAGATGAGTTTGGATAGGCCACTAAGGTCAAGGCGAGACTTGTAGCGAGAGGTGATATGCAGAGAGAGTACATTGACTTTGGAGAGTTGTACGCGCCTACCGTTTCTGTTTCGTGTGTCAGGATGTTGGCAGCGTTGGCGTGCGAGTTGAACCTCGACCTGTGTCATTTCGATATTGAGCAAGCTTTTGTGCGTTCGGAGTTGGAGGAAGACGTGTACATGCGTTTGCCGCAGGGATGTGGAGCTCTCTCTGGAATGATTGTAAAACTAGGCAAGAGTCTGTATGGCTTGAGACAGGCATCNGTGGAATGATTGTAAAACTAGACAAGAGTCTGTGTGGCTTGAGACAGGCATCTAGGCAGTGGCATGCAATGCTGAAGAGGTGTTTGGTTGCGTTGGGATTTGAGCAGTGCATGGCCGATGCTTGTGTGTTTCGATTGATTGAAGGGGGGTGTGTGGTTTTGATTTTGGTAGTAAATGTAGATGACATTTTTGCTGTGGGAGAGAGGGAGAGATGTGACAAGTTTGGCGCCGACCTTAACAAGTCCGTGCCGGTGAAGAACCTGGGAGAGTTGAGATGGCATTCTGGGTGCTTGTACGAGAGAAGCAAGGAGACTGGTAGGCTGACGATTTCTCAGCAGACTTTCACGGATGAGCTAGCAGCAGAGTATGGAGTACCAGGGGGTAAGAGCGTTCCCATGTCTTCGGGGGTAAAGCTTTCTGACTTTGATGCGGATGAAGAGGCGACAGATTTCCGTTTCGTGAGCTAGTAGGATCTTCGATGTGGCTGGCGACTCAGACTAGGCCAGACATTGCGAATGCAGTAAGGGCAGTAGCTAGATATTGCGCGTCTCCGAAGCAGGTGCACTGGGATGCAGCGATGGGTATATTAGGGTATGCGAAGAGGACGAGTTACATGGGTGTTTCAGTTCAGAGAGGTACGATAGAAGGATTCAGCTTGCAGGGGTACGCTGATGCGGACTTTGGGAGCAAGGCAGCAGACCGTAGGTCGGTATCAGGGAGGATAGTAAAGTGCGGAGGAGGCGTTGTGTCTTGGTTTTCCAGAACGCAGAAGAAGTGCGTTACGCTTTCGACAACAGAAGCAGAGTATGTCGCGCTTGGCGATGTAGTGAAGGAGATTTTGTTTTTGAGGCAGGTTTGGCGATTTATGTTGCCGAAGGTCAGCATGCCGTGCATCCCAGTCTTTGAGGACAACCAGGGGGCGATTCAACTAGCGCAGAACCCCATCTCGAACTCGAACTCGGAGCACACTGATGCAAGGCACCATTTTCTCAGGGAATTGGTAGAGAGGAAGGAGATTTCGGTCATCCACGTGCCGTCTCCGTACCAGCGTGCATACTTTCTTGCGAAGAGTTTGCCCAAGGAGGAGTTCGAGTCTCACCGTGATTTTGTGATGAATTTGGCATGGGTTTTTCTTATTTTTCTGATGAGTTTGGTTTGGCTTTCGATTTGATTGTTTTGCTTTCCGCGCTAAGTTCATATCACGCGCGATGCAGCAGTATTCATGTTTCTTGAACTTGGTTTTCGTTTCATATACTTTGGAAGTAATCTTGATAGCATAGACTATATTCAGGAAAAGACGTCTTTTGGTTGAGATATCCGGTATTTGTTCGAAATTTGCAGTGAAGATACTGTTGCGAGCCGGGGGGATGTTAGATATGCTAGCAGCAGTCGCTAGACGTGTGGATCCTGGGGGATACGTGTTGGGAATTTCGTGTGTTGATGGGTACCACCGATGCAGATACGGGGACAAATACAGGGACCCTTATGGCCTTGGTTGCGGTGTTGAAGGCTCGCGCATGTAGCGCACTGCTTTCGCTCTCTCCACCGTCACCGCCGTCTCTCTCCAATCAAGTTTCCTTCTCCAACGCTTTCTCCAACGCCAACGCCATCTCTATCTCTACCTCTCTCTCTCGGCCTAACACGGCCGACTACCCACTGCCCCAAGAGACGCCCAACAAGGGCTTGCTGCACCCCGCGTAGTTTTTCTTTCAGATGTCATGTTGAATGCAAGGGCTAGGCAAGGCGTGGGATTGGCGAGAACCGATTGGGTGCACCAATGCAGGCAGAACATAAACAATACTGTTTCGCGGGCGGGGCAAGGCATCCGGAAGGGATCGCTGTAGCCAGGAGCTCTGATGACGGCGCGGAGGAATATGGGATTGTCTTGGTGGAGCAAGTAGCGATGTTGGGGGGCAAGGGATCACTGTAGCCAGGAGCTCGAATGGAGGCCAGATGGGGGGGGCAGACAGGATCGGTGGTTCGAAGCAATATATCTATACAGTAGTGGCGGTGGGGGGTAAGGGATGTGAGCAGCCAGTAGCCCGAATGGAGGCACATTCACATGATTGGGGGAGCACAAGGTATTTATTTCGCGATGCGCAATGTCAGCTGCAGCGGCGCGGATTTTCGAATGAAACATGTTGTGGCGAGGCTCTATGTCTGGTGCAGCAACATAGACAAAATGAATCGAAGTAACTTGGATAGAGGTTCGATACTTGAACTGAAATGGGATCGGCTGGGGCGAATGAGAACTCGAAAGTACGGTGGTACAGTATAAGGCTGGGCGGGGTGTACTCATAGTCATGCATGCCGTAGTCGTTAGACCAGTGACCTCGCATCCCTACAAAGCCGGGACGGAGCACGCCGGGTTCTCATCGGACCAGGCTCTCACATCACCAAGCACGAAGCGCCGTGAAGTATTCGGCGAGTCGCATGAAGGGTGCCTTGCATCCTGCTAAGGGTGTTCGGTATCTTGTGCTTACTTCCTTGCGTACGGATGACAGCTGCGTGTGGCATGATTTATTGTCTGGTGCTTTCACTTCCAGAGGCAGTTGAAAGCGCTGTCTCACTGCCTCGAGGGTGCTTGACCAATTTTACACAAGGTGCGATCATCCCCTTGGCGCGGAGTGAGGGTTCTCCGCCCCGCACAACATGATCATGTCGACCACCATTCATGATTTCCGCCCAAAAATATATCGAATGAAAAAAAATAAAAACGGTATCATGGTTGCTGAGCTGACAAAGTGATCGGCTTGTTTTACAATATCGCTGCCAAGCGACGAAAACCCAACCCCGATGGCAAACACCGGGGGGGAGTATGACGTGGGGGAGGCGTGCTCTGGGAGGATAACTGATTGATGCAACCACGCCGGGGAGTTGCACAGTACGGCATAGGGAGGCCTGATGACGGGATGGAGGCATCGCCAGGCTGTGTGGCGATGAGCGATGACGGATACAACCACACAGGTTAGACGGATTGGAAAGGCGATGCGTGAGAGGCAAGGGATACATGCTGTGGCAGGAGCTACAACGGCGGCGAGAGGGCGCTGTAAGGGCTGGTCGCGAGATGTGTATGGTGACGAGAGACATAGGACCGATGGGATACTGTAGAACGAACATTGCGTGGGTTTGAGATGCGGAGCATTATTCCAGGTGTTTAACACAACTGGTAACGGGATGATTGTAGACTAGTGAGGAACGCTATCGGGTGCCACTACGCAAATTAGAGGGGTGTGAGATTAGGTAGGGTTGGACTTAACGGACCTGTACTGTCAGGAGCTGGGACGTAGGGGCAATGGCATCATAGCGACAAGGGCTAAATAACCCGTACCATCGGGTAAACTATTGGTGCACAAAATGAGTTGCCTCATGAGATACCCCACGAGACCTCATGGCGCCTTATGAAACCTTATGGTAGCTCGCGAGGCGTCATGAGACCTCAGAGTACTTCACAAGTCGTCAAAAGGCCTCATGAGGCCACATGAGGAGTCATGCGACCTCTGATGGCACCTTGCGATACGTAATGAGACCTCATGATGCCTCATGAAATCATACGTCTCATGATAGCTCCGGAGTCCTCCCGAAACCTCATGAGAAGACCTCATGACACCTAATGGAGGATCATGAAACCTTGCGACAATTCGTGAGAACTCATGATGCGATATGACATCTCATGTTACCTCATAAAAGCTCACGAGACCTCTAGGTACGCCCCATGACACCTCATGAGGTGTCTCCTTTTCTAAATAATGTACGTGGGTCAGCTACACAGGGGATCGCTGTGGCGTGCTGCAATATCTGGCATATCCAAAGGTTTGCCAAAGGAGTACAATGAGTTTGCCCCGGAGGGTGGATCCTTTTGCAAACACCGCCAAACGAGGAAAGATGGCATGATATCGGAAAGGGTCAGGCAAGATGTGGGTGAGGTGAGGAGCCATGTCGGGTGTATGACGGGAGAGCGACCGGGGAAGGGGTGGGTACTGCCCGGGGCCATGCCATGCAGGTGTGTTGGAGTGAATACTCTTGGGGGCAAAACGCTGGATGCAGCATTCCAGGTGTGTTGGAGCGAATGTTCGTTCTTGGGGCAGAACATTGGGAGTAGGTGCAGCTGTTTTGGAATGATTTCGCTTTGGGGCAGAACGTCGGGTGCAGCCATGCAGGTGTGTTGGAGTGAGTTTGTTATGGTGCAGCCATGCAGGTATGTCGGGAGTGAATTTTCTTGGAAATGTTGTTGTTGCTTTTGTTTACAATATACTCGTGTCAGTTGCTAATCCCAAAATCTAGCAAAGACTCGGTCCGTGGTCACAAAAATGCTAGAGCCATCAGAAGATCTAAAGAACACACACACTATTAGCAAGAAAAGGGAATAATACACCAGCCCGAGGAAGTACACCTGCAATCCCTGCAGCACGTTTGCGTCCTCACAACTGAACTACACGCCCACACACAACAATTCGACTACAGCAGCAGCGTGACCCCCCTTGTCCCCCATTTAACCAAAATGAATGTTTGTCGACTACAGCGTACTGGAGTTTGAAGTGCTGTCTGTACAACAATAGCAACTGGTGCATGGTGCACAAGCTCGGGGCATGCAGCTGCTGTCTGAAGTGCTGTCAGAATGAGTCCGTGGACATACAATGAAGAAGAACACCAACCAAAGCCATCATTGCAATTGACAATCACACGAATCTATCCAGATCATCTGTGTTAGGCACAGCATTGTAAACATCGACACTCACTAGGAACCGTTCCAAATTGAAGAGGTCTTCCACGATGCAGGTACACAATTAAAAAAAGCACCCGGGTTGTCCGCGCCATCTCTGCCGCGTCTCTCTACAAAACCAGTGACGTCATCACACACACCCAACACCTTAAGTTCATTCAGGAAAAAAACGGAAAATAATGATAACACAAGAGATGTTTGTCCGTGTGCCACGGTTCGATGCCATCCGCATGCTCCGGTGCCGCTGCTCCGGTGCCACTGTGGCCAGTCCTAGCACGACCGAACTCGACCCGCTCCGCTTCGTGCTGTCCTTCCCAGTCTGTTCCTCGCTTCCTCCCTCGTTGCACTTAGGGTTCTTGATCTGAAAATTCCGGCGCCGAAGGGTCAACCAGCCCAATCAGCTCGTCACCACCTGCCCCCTCCTCCTTTGATGGCAAAACCAGGTTACTAAGACAGAACAGCTCCCTCTAGCAAACCTAGCGCCGTGTACATAGTGCCCGTCCACCTTTCTGATGACGTCTGCCTCCGCGCATTGCTGCCTACACCGACGGCCTGGAGGCCCGCGTATCTGCACCTTTGTACCTGACGCACCAGTGCCGACCCAACTCCACCACTACGCACGCCTCGCGGCGGGTGCGCCGCAGCAAGCAGGTATCGGTTCCTTGAGGGTAAGTCTACATCCCTACTCGCTAGAAAGCCCCCCCACCTCGCTATGGGTCATGCCTACGCAAAACCTTCCCGAGGCAGCGAGGGGAAGAAGAGTTAGGGTTTTTAGAAGGGGTGGGATCGGCGGTGCCTGAAGCTCCAATGGAGGCGAGCCCGGGCGATGAATGGCAGGGACAGATGAGGACGGGTTACCGAGGAGCGATGATGGATGCGGCCGCTTAATCTGGCGCGTTGGTGATCGTCCCGACCCTGCCTGAGGGGGGTGCCAGGACGACGGGGAAAGGCTTTGCTGCGGTGTATCTGGGCAACAAGCCTCACGCACGGAGCATGTGTTAAACTCTTTACAATGGGCCGATGTACGGGTCTGTGTTGGCTTCGTGACGGCGTGACGAGGACGTACGGGACTGTGGCCCGCCGTCTCGAAAGAGGTGGACATTCAAAGTAACGCGGTACACGCTTCATTCCAAATATTGGATGTCCTTGCGCTGGTTACCGACAGTTCATTCCAACATGTTTGGCATCTTGCATTTCCGCTCTGAAATTCAACGTTGTCCGTGCCTCGCAAACAAACAGTCCCAACCACAGATAGTTTTCCCAAGCTGTTGGACGTTTTTCTACTTTCAGCGAGTGCGGCGGGATATCCAGCACAGGCAACATTTGCCCCTACACCGACCGAATTTGTCACATCAGACGAAGCGACAGCTACAGCTACATGCTTTCTTCGAACAAGGATGACAAGGAGTAAAGGAGACATCACAATGAAAAAGAAAAACGATACGGTACCTACTTGCAGACAACACTCAAGGGTCTGCACTCAAAGCTCCCCCGGAAGGGACCAATACCGCTTCATCCGTTTCACAACCCTAGTGCCTGCGGTTGTCGGCTACACCTTGTCCACAGCGTCGTCACAAACTCCACGGAGAACCCATCATGCATACCGTACAGACCAGCCCAAGAACCGTCGCGCTCATTGTGTTTCCGATTGACCTACATCCTCGGAGAGAAGAACCGCCAGCCGCACCACTATTCCGGGTGCCGGCCCGCGGGAGAAAAAAAACATGGTACCCCCATCACCATCCCAAAAGCCTAAACTAGAGAGCTCGACGCGACATTGGTCGGACAATAATATTTCCTTTTTTTCATTTTTGTCGGACACACAAAAACGATTCTAGTGATCCACTGCGATGGCCCATGTCGATGGCCCATGTCTCACGGCGGCTGCAACCCACATTCTGCTCTGGCTGCCCCCCACCAACAACCATCGGGCACTACATGTGCCTGGTGCAGATCTCCCCTCCCCGCACAAACAACCTTCTGTGGTCCACAAGTTCCGAAGGAAAAAAAAATCAGAAGGCAAAGGGGTGTGAGGGTCGGACTGCAGGGTGCTACGACCAAGCATGACGGGAAGCAGGTCTCCTCGGCAGCGCAAACAAAGGACTCAACCGCTCGGCGTGGTGCTTGCTTGCGACTCTTCGCGAGTGCGACCGTTCGCGAGTTGACAAGCGAACTTTTCGATCTCTGGCCCCTGGAGCGATCGCATCTCCCTCCCTCCGCACCAGACACCAACCTACCCGAAATACTGTGCGTTGTACATGGGCGCGCGCCTGCCCCGCAGAAGCAAAACCGGATGTTCAGTAGAGGATACAAGCACGGAGATGGGAGCCCCGCCGTGTCGCAACTCAATTGTACCAACTACAACCAATGCCGAACGCGCGAGGCGCTGGGAGTGGAGAGTGAAGGTAGCGCCAAAAACCAAGCACACAAAATCATCGTACCTCACGCCTGCCTAACCATGCATTTTGATGGAGCAAATCGTCACGAGAGCAAAAAACCAAGGCAGCGACTATACTTCCGCAGGCCATCCCTGCACCTGTAGGCACGCCTAGCGCAATGCCGGCAGGTCTTACCCTACCCTGATTGGCCCGCCCTTCTTCACTCCCCCTCTGACGTCGCCAAGCGTTTATTCTCTCTGATTCTCTCTTTTTTCTGCCCTTCGAAGACCGCTATTGTATCGCTGCAGGCTATAGCGCTCGACATTTTCGCCTGGCTTTCTTTCGGCTCTACATATGGTACCGTGCTGAGCCACACCAAGGGTAGATAGACCGAACCGACGACCAACGTCGCAAACACCAGTCGCGCGGAGGCACCAAAAGAAAAACAGTCTCCGACGAAAATCAAAGCCGGTGTAGGGAGGCCTCACAGCTACACCGCCCACAAGGCAGAGAGGGCACACCAAATTTCGGCGGCGTTCCAAAGGGGCAATCTTGTACCCAACCAACAGCGCAAGGATACCAGGTAGCCCATGCGTCAGCCAACGGGGCTTCAAGGAACCAAGGTTTTGTAGATGTCGCGTGGTTGAAAGGAATATCCCCCCCTGGGACTTACAGTCCCTAGCATACCATTGCAGTTCATACGCATACAGAGACAAAATCGAAAACACAACGAAATTAATTACGCCCGCGCGCCCAGACCATAAGCGGGTGCTGCCGGACCAAATCGCAACAGAAAACATCCCATTTCGTAACGGCAACCCCTCAACAAGGAAGATTAGTCCACCTGGTGCGACAGGCGGAGTGAACGGCGCGGAGGCGGGTAGGCGAGTAGGCGGGTAGGCGGGAAGGGGGTCATCACGAAACATGGGCATGGATCTTGCAGGTTGCAGGAAAGGATACCTCAGTGGAAATCAAAACGGAACTCGTTCAAAGCTCACCATTCTCTTTCGCGATCGTGGCGTCTTGGTATAGTTGTGCGGTATGTATTCAATGCCGGAGAAGTGATGGTTTCGTCAAAACCCATATCTTGCAGTGTCTAGGGTTGTTGGATATATGGATTTTGAAATGTGCGGCGTGCGGCGTACCTGCTGCTTTCGTGATTGCAAATCACCTGTTGACAGACGATCTGAATCGAAATTGCCATTGGTTCTAATCCATGCCTACCACTGTCTAGACGACTGAGATACCGCCGCGGTGTTCGCGTATTTACAGTGCGTGACAGACTCCTACAGGCGTAAGAAGCGAATCGCGAAGGACTCGAAAAAGATGGAAATAATCGCCTGCAAGTGGCACTGCCCCCAAATCAGTCCCGCACTTTTACCGATCATCTGTTCTGCTTCCGCAGAACGACTGGTGACATCATGCCCAATTTCTAGGTGACCCTCTACATAAGTGACAAGTGAAATCCCGCTTCACAAATTTCAAGTTCATTCCCGCTACACTTTTTGCAAGTGAAATTCCGCGGCATACGCTGCTCAAGACCTCGAGTGGATTATCACTTGTCCTTTAACTTGTCTCCTACGCAAAATAGCTGATTGAAAATAACATAGGGAGCAACGGCCAGAGGTCAACTTGTGACCACCCACGAACTACGACGTGGTATGTAGACCCATCCAGGCACGTCGCAAAAAGCAACTGTGAAATGAACATGACCCGGTATGCACACAAAACGAACGACTGCAGGTACAACTTGCCTTGATGGAGAAATAGATGACGTTGATGAACCACTGGCAAGAGAAGTATCCCACGGTACCCGTCAACAGGAAGAAGCACGACGTCATCACGAACGTGTAGCCGAAGAACAGCGATGCTGCCATCCACTGTTTCCGTGCACCACCAAAGGCAGAAAACGATGCCAACACACACCAACGTGCGAATGGTGTGTTGATGCCGGAATGTGCCGGAACATGTACACACGTGTGGGTCACGGCGGGGCGAGCCATTTGAGGGGTAGGGTCAGGGTCGGGTTGTGCAAAGTTAACACAATCCGGCGGAAGGTCAAGCGAATTTGAGGTCTGGTGGAGCTCGCGTGCGCGGCTTAACACAGGACTACCTCCACGAGATCACCCCAACTAAAACCTTCGGTGGATAGACATAGCATCGGTAAGTGTAGAAGGGCACCCAAACCGCGAGGCTGTACACCCGCAAAGATATCAATCGCAGGTTGATGCGGCGCAATCGGCCACATTTCAAACTTTCAAAGAGGACAAACGATGCGGGAAACCGATCTGCTTCAACTACAGCACCATCGAACAACGAAAATGTATGCATACAACGACGACGAGGACAGCATTACAACAACTCACCCCGCTCATGTTAAGCACGGTGAAGTAGTACCCAACAGAGTAGATGAACATCCAGCCTGCGCACGACCCGGACCACAGCAGTGAGCGCCACCACCTGAAAACAAAAAAATCATACGTACAAGATGAGACAACGAGAGTGAGATAGAGGACGGAAACAAGAGGAGACAACAGAGAAAGTCACGGGGCCACGAAAAAGGCGTTAAGCGGCCGCGGGAGTCGGCAGCGGGCCTCAAATGCCCTCTCCCCCCCCGGTGTTTACCGTCGGGGTTGGGCTTTCGTCGCTTGGCAATGACGTTGTGAAACAAGCCGCCCCCCCTGGTGTTTGCCATCGGGGTTGCATTTTCGGCGCTTGACAACGACGTTGGAAAACAAGCCGCCCCCCCCCCGGTGTTTGGAGGTGGACGCATGGACCCAAAAAGAAGAAGAGACATCGAAGGCAGACGTTGGGAACGTAGAACTAGAAAAGGAGTTCACTGAGGACGAGGTTGAGGCGTGTGTGAACAAGCTGAAGTGCCACAAAGCAGCAGGAGCGGATGGGATAGTCAACGAGTTCATGAAGTTTGGGGGG